TACAATAAAAAATATATATACTGATGACTATGTAATGGTCTTTGGACTTGGGCAGACATGGCTGTGGCAGCATGCTTGTCCATTTTCCCAGTCTTGCCTATTCTGTAATATTCTTTCGACTTGGACAGACATGGCTGTGGCAGCATGCTTGTCCGTTTCCCACTTACGCCCTTTTGAATATATGCCGAATAAAACTTTCTTTTTGGTTTACTAAACTTTCTGATGTTTTTCCCCTACAACAGCTCCAGCATAAGATGGCATGGACAACAGTTCCTCCACCAAAGAAAGTTTAAACATACAAAGAGAAATGCCCAATTCAGGAGGCAGGTACTACTAGGCAAGAGGATACCCAGCTGGGGTTCTGGCAGTGTTTAGGGGAGGGTGGAGCATGTGAGGGCTATGAATGTCAGGAGGGGGGCAGAAGACTCCAGCAAACACTGGGAGAAGAAGCAACCCCATATAACTGGATGGATTTGGGGAGTCTGAGTGATCTTGGAGACATCAGAGCACCCAGGGCCTCAAATGCCAGGCCAAGGAGCCCAGGCCTTCTCTGCAAAGGAGAGAAAAGAAGGCAGCCTCCAGCCCTCTCACTGAGCAAATATTTGCTAAGTGCCTGCTCTGGGCCAGGATTGTGCAGCATGGGTCAGGAAGCATGCAGAGGTGTGGCTGAGAAGATCTGACCCAGAGCAGGAAGCTCCCAGACTAATTTCTCCTGGCCCCAGGCTGTGTCCTCACTCAGCAAACATTCCCCGATGTGGTAGCCAACCTCAAAGATGACTTTAATGATCCCCTCCTCCTGGTATTCATGCCCTTGTGTAGTCGATGTGGGGGGGACCACACTGAATAGGGTTGACCCATGTAACTAGTAAGTTATTGCAAAATGACAGCATTTGATTTATGAGATTAGATCAAAAAGGACATTATGGCTTCTTGCTCCCTTGGATCACTCATTCTGGTAGAAACCAACTACCATGGCATACAGACACTCACGTGGCAAGGAACTGAGGTCTCCCACCAACAGCCATGTAGATGACCCATCTTGGAAGTAGATCCTCCAGCCCCATTCAAGCCTTCCTGTGACTGTAGCCCTGACCAACATCTTGACTGAAATGTGAGGAGAGACCCTGAGACAGAACAGCCCACTAAAAACCCAAATCGAACCCACTGCCGACAAGTTGATACAGACTCATAGCGACCGTATAGGACAGAGTAGAACTGCCCTATAAGATTTCCAAGGCTGTAGTCTTTGTGGAAGCAGATCATCACATCTTTCTCCCACAGAGCGGCTGGTGGGTTCCAACCACTCACCTTTTGGTTGGCAGTTTTAACCACCGTGCCACCTCCACCCCCAAATTCCTGATTTACAGAAACTGTGAGATGATACATGCTTGGTGCTTTAAGCCATATTTTGGGATCATTTGCTACCCCCAAATTAATATAAATGATGCCCACTCTGCCCCATCACTGTGCCCAAGACACTCCCCACTGCCAGCCCCTAGTTCAGGCTGCCATCTACTTATCTGGACCACCACAGCAGCTCCTCCCTGGTCTCCCTGCCTCCTGTCTCAAGTCCTTCTGATTTCTCCTCCATATAGGACCCAGACCGAATGGAAGGCCCATTTATCCAAAAATGCTCATGAGCATCAGATCATGGCTCTCTCCTGCTCAAAGCTTTCCATGGCGCTCTGTCTTAGTCATCTAGTGCTGCTATAACAGAAATACCACAAGTGGATGGTTTTAACAAAGAGAAGTTTATTTCCTTACAGTAAAGTAGGCTAGAAGTCCAAATTCAGGGTGTCAGCTCCAGAGGAAGGCTTTCTCTCTCTGTTGGCCTTCTCATCAATGTTCCCCCAGACTAGGAGCTTCTCTGCACAGGGACCCTGAGTCCAAAGGACACGTTCTGCTCCTGGCACTGCTTTCTTGGTGGTATGAGGTCCCCCTTCTCTGTTTGCTTCCCTTTCCTTTTATCTCTTGTAAGGTAAAAGGTGGTGCAGGCCACACCCTAGGGAAACTCCCTTTACATTGTATCAGGGATGTGACCTGGGTAAGGGTGGTGTTACAATCCCACCCTAATCCTCTTTAACATAAAATTACAATCACAAAATGGAGGCCAACCACACAATTCTGGGAATCATCGCCCAGCCAAATTGATACACACATGTTTTGGGGGACATAATTCAATCCATGACATGCTCCATTGCCCTCAATTAAGTACTTTGTGTTGTTTCCAGGAGGCATTTGCAACTAGGCAGGAACAGTGCAATTGTGGAGTTTCTGGCATCCCTGAGCTGATATGGGGCCTGAATAGGGAGCAGGAGGAGTCCTTGTTTGCTCTGGCACCTGGAATGACAATCCAACGGCCACCTGGGGAGGGTGAGAGGGGCACCCTGACAGCTGGGGCTGAGACAAGGCAGCAGCTTTGTTCCAAAGGCCACAGTGGCAGGATGCCCAGTGCAGACCCAGCTTCCCTGGCTTCCTCCAAGGCAGGGCAGTTGGGTGGGAAGCTGGTGGCAACCACCCCTCTTTGCTCCAGGAGATGCCGTGGGGCCTCTGAACATGCAGTGGAAGGCTGAGGAGGGCTGGGAGGAATAAATAACACAGCAAGCCTAGGGGGAGCACTAGGAGGCATCTGGGATGATGGTCTATTTGCTAAAGTTTGAGGACCTATTGTGTCTCAGGCACTATTGCTAAACACTTTCCACGCATTAGCCCGCTGCAGTCTCCCAAAGCCAGGTGAGTTAGGTCCTACTGCTGCCCCCACTTAGCACACAGAGGCACAGGTGGGGAGGCCCTTGCCCAAGGTCACACAGCTTGGATGTGCCAGAGCCAGGATTTGAACCCAGGTCTGACCCCAGAGTTTTGTTCTTGGCTAGTATTCTCTTCCACCTACTCTGTGCCTGACATGGTGCTGGTGCTGGGGAGGCAGCAGTGAACAGGACAGTCATCTCAGCCCTCATGGAGCCCAGTGCAGTGGAGAAGAGATAATAATCCAGTTCTAGGAGTAGGATGTGACTGGGCAGGGAACTGGGGCGGCGTTTAGTAGGGGCACAAAACTCAGCTTGAGGGGCACTGGGGAGAGCTTCCCAGAAAAGGTGACATCTGTTATCCTGAGGAGAAGTCTTCCCAACAGGGGCTGGATGCAAAGACTGAGGCTTAGAGAGGAGAAGTGACTTGCCTGAGGCAATAGAGCTGTGTGAGGCTGAACCTAGAGGGACAGTGACATTTCAATGAGAATCTTCCCCACCTGGAACCCGCTATGTCCTACTTACTGTTTTTTTCTGTGATCCTCACTGCCAGTGACATTGTGTGGCCAGGAGAGACCTGCTGAGGTCACACCTGGAGTAAGGGGTGGCAGGTCCCAAACCCAGGCTATCTCCCAGTCCCGTGTTCCCTGTGTCCACTCCTGGGAGGAATGATAGGGAGAACCTTGGCTGTGACCTTGGGGAATCACTCAATGCCCGATGGTCCTGAGTCTGGGGACAGACCAGCCCCCAGGTCAGGCACAGCTCCAAGTCCCCCTCCTCACCTCCACAACCACCATGGGCAGGCGTGGCTGTGACAGGAGGCTCATTCATTACCAAGCAATTCACAAGGAAAGGAGCAGGTGTGAGGGAAATACAGCACTGCTCCTGAGCTGTGGCGTGGGCCCCTTGAATGGGGAAGGGTCCTAAGTCATCAAGGAGGCTCTGCCCACCAACGCCATCTGACCAAACCTCAGAGTGGAGCCTGGAGGTACCCAGTCTACACAGGGACAGGGTTGGGCCAGTGGCATCTCTGAGTCACAAGGAGGGTGGGTGGCAGGTGACTCAACCTGGCCTTACTTCCCCTCCTGCAGGGCCAGGCTGGCGGACGCTGGGACCAGGAACTCCTTCGCCTGTCCTCCTGAGGCAGGTACCTCCCAAGCCCCTCACTGCCCCATCCCCAGCCTTGGGCTGACCCTTCATGCAGCCCTGCCTAGCACTGGCTGGCACAGTAGTCCTCAGGGAATTCTATGTGAAGCAATGAATGATCCCCTTGAATCCCAGGCTCCCTAGTCTCCGGCACCAGCCTGGTCTAGCCCCATGGGCTCACACAGAAGGGGAAGACTGGCCCGATTTTCCAGTTGGACCTGGAACCTCAGAGAGGGTGGAATGACTAATCCAAGACAGGGACAGAGCCAGCTGGCACACTCACTCTCTTCCCTACTCCTGGCCCTGCCCAATGGGCACCTCATTCCATCCTCTCCAAGAGGATTATCAGCCCCATTTTACTGAGGCTTAAGAGAGAGGAGGCTACTGCCCAAATTTACACAGTGAGGTGGGAAGAGCAGGATTGGGCCCCAGGTCTTCCTGCTCCAGGCTAGGTCCTTGTCACTCATTCTTAATAAGCAGCCTCCTGGGGAGGTAGCTGGGAGGGGGGTTAAGTATATAGGGCTAAGTATAGGCTGAGAGGTGAGGTAACAAAGCTGAGGTCTGCCAGCCAGTCAGGGAGGAGTTGGGCTAACCCTGGGGGTTGGGACTCATGTCCCAGAGTCTCTACATGGAGCCGGGCTTTCCTGCAAGGCCTCTGGGCCAGCCCTCTAGGCCCTGCTCCTGAGCTGTGGCAATGGGTCCCCTTGAACGAGGCCTGGCCAGTGGAGGTATTTTAAAGAGAACAGGGGTGCAGGTGGGGGCCTGGACAGGCCGTGGTGGGCAAGGGAGGATGTCCTAGCTGCTGTGTGGGTGGGGGGGCCCACCACTCTCCCTATTCCCTTGGCTGTACCCCTGAGGAATGACACAGGTATACAAGCAAAAATAGTTTATTTGAGGACGGAAGACCCAAAACTGGGGGCCCCAGGATGAGGCCACAGCAGCTGCCTAGAGTTGGCACAGACTACTCCAACTCCCTGAGGGGAGCCCAGCAGCAAAGAAGCCCTTCCTGGGCCCCCCAGCTGCCTCCCCGACCAGGGAGGAATTGTGCAACCACGAAGAATCATCGTTGTCGTCATTGTAACACACTGAGGTTTTCCAAATTCGGCCAGCAGTGTTCAGCACAGTAGTTGATACTCATCATAATAATTTCTCTGACAAGCACAATAACCTTGCCAGGTGTGGATACACCATCCAGTGGTGAGTGGGTCTGTGACAGGGCACAGGAGGCAGGGCAGGAGCGGACCTCTCTGGGAGTCCCCGTTCCAGCCGCCAAGGCTGCCCTTCCAGAAGGTGCCTCTCCTCCTGCTGCCCCAGTGATTGTAGCTGCCTGCTCTCCACTTCTCCCACAGCTACTGGCCGAGGTCGGATTAGGCCAGCGCTATCACAGGTGGCCCAGGAGCTCCCTCGGGTCTCAAAGACCCTTGCCAGGCTGGTCCCCCTGCCACAGCCCCCGGCGGGTAGCCCAGGAGGCGATGAACTCACAGTGGTGGTAAAGGAACATTCCAGAAAGGGTGAGTGCAATGCCCACATAGCTGGGCGTGCTGAGGTGGCTGTCAAACAGGAGCCGGGACAGGACAAGGTTGCCCACGACGGTGAGGTTGCCCAGGACGTGGACGGTGAGGGCGGAGGTGAGGGCCAGCAGGGAGAAGCTGGCCAGGTTGTAGAGCACAGACAGGAAGCAGCTGAGCAGGATGCAGACCCAGAGGCGGGAGTCGGTGGGAGTGGGTGACGGGGCCACGCCAGCCTCCAGTACCAGGGCTGCACCCGCCAGCAGGCAGAAGCTGGGCAGCGAGGTGGCGTACAACAGGGTCACCGCGTCCAGCCTCTCTTCCTGCAGTAGGGCACCTGCAACCAGGATAGTGGCCATCAGCACGCAGTGGGTAAGACAAGCCCCCACGCGGCCGACATGGACGACCCACCCACATGGCCTCTCCTCTCAGGTCCTTTGGCAGAGTTCGTGGCTCCCCACTCCAGGTAGCCCTTAGCTTCCTGCTATATACCACGATGGTCAAGCACCTGGAGTCAGACCCCTAGGTTAGTGACCTGTGTCCACTCTGTACTAGCTGTGACCTGGGCTCGTGTGAGGTACACTTAATCTCTGTGAGCCTCGGTTTCCTCACCTGTACAGTTGGGTAATAATAAAACCTAAACCTAATACACCAGGTTATTATAAAAGACTTAAAAAGATAACATACATAAAGCCCTTAATAAAAAACCAAAAAACCAAACCCATTGACGTTGAGTAGATTCTGACTCATAGCGACCCTATAGGACAGAGTAGAACTGCTCCATATGGTTTCCAAGGAGCGCCCTGGTGGATTTGAACTGCCAACCTTTTGGTTAGCAGCCATAGCTCTTAACCACTATGCCAGCAGGGCTTCCAAAAAAGATAACCAAAAAAACTCAAACCCATTGCCATCGAGTCAATTCCAGCTCATGGTGACCCTATGTGTTACAGACTAGAACGGCTCCATGGGGTTTTCTTGGCTATAATCTTTATGGAAACAGATCACCAGTACTTTCTTCTGTAGCACTGCTCAGTGGGTTTGAACTGCCAACCTTTGGGTTAGAAGTCGGGCACAAACTGTTTGCATCACCTAGGGACCTATTTAATAAGGTAAAAAACAAAAACAAAGAAATCACAGTTGCCCGTGAGTCAATTCTGAATCATGGCAACCCCACGTGTGTCAGAGTAGAACTGTGATCCATAGGGTTTTCAATGGCTGAGTTTTTGGAAATAGATCACCAGGGCTTTCTTCCAAGGCACCTCTGGGTAGACTTGAACCTCCAACCTTTCAGTTAGCAGTGAGCTCTTAACTGTTTGCACTACCTAGGAACTTAATAAGGTAAGTGCTCAGCAAATCTAATAACTAAGTAACTAAATAAATCAGCCTGTTATCAGCTATTTCAAACCATCACCCACAGGCTGAAGCAATAACCTGCTTGCAGCATTTTCGCCTGCTTAAAAACCTTCAGAGGCTCCCCAGGCTCTGGAGAAAAATGTCCTCGTTCTCAGCCCAGCTTTTAAGGTCCGGCACCAACTGGCCCCGACCCACCTTTGTTGGCCTGAGCCCTTGTCACACCCACCAGGACTTCATACCCAAGCTCCCGGCACCACAGCAGGGACAGGCCAGCAGAGGGGGCCAACTCTGCCACTTACTAGCCATGTGACCTTTAAATTAAAAAGAGAGAAAGTTTTAAAATAATAAATTGTTCGAGCCAAATGGTGGGTCCATCCACTGCTTCATTCACTTGTGACCAGTGAGATGACAAGGGAATAAAAGAGTCATTGTTTGTGCTTGGCTATCGTTAACTGGTTATAACTGATATCAGCATCTTTTGCTATCAACACTGAGGCTTGTCAAGATGAATCCAGGACTAAGGGGAAACCTTTTAGCTTTGTAAGGAAAGAAAGGATCCTACCACCTTACATATGTGCAAGTGTGTGCATATGTGTACATGCGTGTGTACATGTATGCATATGTGTGTGTGTATATACACGTATTACTACCTGGCCAGTTCAAAAAAGAAGTAGGCCCCATCAACAAAGGCAGATAGAGCTCCTCTCTAAGTTTCAGTGGCAAGAGATGAGTAACTAATACAGGCTTCCTCCCTGCGTGAGCTCCGAGCATCTTCTGACACATACATTCCAAACAGCTACGGAGATGTTTGCTCATAGGCTATGCTTAGAATAGGAAATTTTATTTCTTTCTCGATTTCATTCTTATGTTTTGGCTTTGTTCTCTAGGCAACCGTCCCTCAGGCTCAAGCATTTATAGAAATGAACAGATAATTGGAACACCTCCTGCTCATTTGCTTCCAAATTTAGCACCGTTATGAGCTGCCTGTGGCCTGCATGTTCAAACAGCAATCACAGGAAGGCATTTGTGTTTTCAGGCGAACCTCACCTTTGGTGGATTTCACTCTGCAGGGTAGCCAGGCAGGAAGGGCCTCACCTCCCCACCCAGTCCTTGCAAACTGCTCTGTATCCCACCCAGCCCTCCTCTCCCTGCAGTCCAGGGAAAGGACAGTAGTCCTCTGCCAGGGGCGATTTAGCCCCACTCCAGGCCCCAAATGCCAGCCTGTCATCTTGCCTCCTTGGTGACCACTCCCTTGCTGCCCCCCAGGCCTTCCATTTCTATCTCTCCCTCTCGGAAGGCCCTTTTGTTTCCACATCTGAACACGTCCAAGCTCCTGCCACATGCAAACAAACGGTAGATCCTTCTCTTGACTCTGTTCCCCTTGCTACTGGCTTATCCCCTCTGTTCCTCCATTAGCTGTGTTGATATTAGACAAAGCACCATCTCCCGGCCTCAGTCTCCCATGTATAAAATGGAGAGAGTGACAACACCCCCCTTACAGGGGCATTTGAGGTGCTGAAAACAGGGCCTGGTGCCCTGCAGTAACTGCTCACACCAGCAGCTATCATGATCCCCCAAACTGCTCCTGCTGGCTGACACTTTGTGCCCGGGCGTAGCCTGCTTCCTGTTCTTAGAATGCCCTTTCCCATTCTGTCCTTAGGAACAGCTGAGCATGATGTGGGTACACATTACTACATTATTACTACATTATTGTTGTCATCACTCCATGCCTCCTCCTCCCCTAGGCAGCCTTCTCGTGTCTCCCTAGGCAGAAGCAACCACTGACCACACCCATGTCCACCTTGGATCCTGTGCTTCCTGTGAGCCACTGTGACCTCTACTTCTGACAGCGTCCCCCCTCCACCAGCCTGAGAGCTCAGAGGACAAGGATCAGGGAGTCATGTTGTTCTCTGCCACAGGTGGGTACAGCTGAGAATAAGGTCATCTCAGAAAGCAAGCTGGAACCCCATTCCTCAGCCCCTCAGTTGGCAGGGGCAAAACTCCTTCTCCCCAGAGAGCCCGCCTGGGCCTGCAACTGGCCCAGGCAGGAAGGAAACTGCTGGCCCTGCCCACGGCTGGCTGGTCTCTCCTCCCCTGGACTCTCTTCCCCTGCTCCAAGGAGTCTACTCTTGGGAAACGAGCTGGCATCAGTCATTTCCACTGTAGTCTGAACTGGGCCCTGGTGCCTCTCCTGGAGCCTCTGGCTGTAGAAGCCTCCTCTTGTCCTAAGTACACATCTTCCCTGGCTCCAGCCTGTTCCTGACCATCTCTGCTAGGCTCCCATCTGTGTTGGTGGGGCCTCCAGTCTCCTAACCTCTCTTCTTAGCAGCCCCAGCCATGTATCCTAGCCAGCTTGTCAATCCACTGTCAGAGCCATTAATAAAGCCACCATTTAAGGAGTATCTGCCCTGCGCCAGGCCTCGTGCTGGGTACTGGGGACTTGGAGATGCCCCAAAGCCAGTCTCTGCCCTCTTGGAGCTCCTATCTGTTGGGAGGCAGACAGGTAACCATGTGACTATGATATAGGGCATTTGGAGCTGGGATGGGGGAAGCAGAGAGTGCTGTGGGAGGCTGGAGTAGGCACCCTACCTGACCTGCCTTAGGAGCCAGGCAAGTTGGAGAGAAGGAGGCAGCTGGCAGAGGCCAAGAAGCAGCCCAATGCCAATCCTGTTGCTCCATGCTAGTGGGCCTGAGCCTGGCTGGCCACAGCCCTCCTGCCAGCCAGGGCTGCCTGAGGCCCTGTGCAAGGGACACTGGGCCTCAGTTGGTGAGCTGTAGGCCTCAGGCTCTGCCAGGGAAGGCCCCACTGGGTCAGGTTTCCCACTGCCAACTCACACCCAGAGCTCAGTCCCCAGGTCTCATGTAACCTGAAGGCAAAAATAGAACTGGGCTTTGGCCCTGCCTCAGGACCTGGGAGGATGGGAACAGGTTCTCAGGGTCTAGCTCAGAAGATGCCAGGGCAGGGCAGGGCAGGACATCAGCCACGGGCTGCCTCTGACCCAACCCAGCCTCCATTTCCTTTTCACGCCCAGGTCACAAGATCTCAGATCTGGGAGGGATGGAGAGCAAGAAGCCCCTCCATCAACAATGACCTGCCTCCACTGAACAGATGGGTAAACTGAGGCCAGGACAAGACCCGACCTGCCCAAGGTTGCCCAGCAGGTCTGAGCACAGGTATGGCTGGAACATCACCCCACCGTGAGTGGGTGCCCTGGCCTCCTCCATGTCTCCTTTGGGTTGAGGCAGAGACAGGGTGGCATCTGGCTGGGCTGGGACTCAGATGCCCCTCAACAGGGCAGGAAGAAAGGCAGCCTCCACCCTTAGGCAGAGAGATTTAGCAGGGTCTAGGCCTGGAACTCAGTCCTACCCTCTGCCACATCCCTACCTGCCCCCTTTCATCAGAGCCGGGCTCCAGAGTTTCACAGACCAGGCTTCAAGTCCCTAGGAGACATGTGGCCCTAGGCAAATCACAGGACCTCTCTGGGTCTCAGTTCCATCATCTGTAAAATGGAGATGAAGGTCATGACAACTCAAGGTCAACACCCAGTATCAGGCCTATCATGCTATAGGCTCCTAGTAAACATCAGCTCTTCCCAGACTTAGCCAAACCCCTTGCCTTCCAAAACTCAGCTCAAAGGTCTCGCCCTCTTACTCTCTCCCTGGTCCACACCCAGGCCTCCCTCTGCGTTCCACAGACTTACAACCCATCACTTGGACAGTATGGAGTCCAACCACCTGGGTTGAAGTCTTGTTTCTGCTGCTCACTAGCCACATGTCCAAGGCAAGTCCCTCCAGCTGTCTGTAAAATGGGGACAATATAACACCTGCCTTAATCAGGGCACAGTGTGGGGATCCAATGAGATAAAGGACTTGACAACACACGGGACACAGATCTGGTGACATTATTAAATACTGGTTAGGCCTCCAGAGCCTAGGTTTGGGGCCTGGAACTTTCTGAAACCTTCTGAGCTTCAGTGTCTGCCTCTTCCAAAGCCATGAGCCTAGGTTTCCTCAATCTGTAAAATGGATTAACTGCCATACCTCTGACAGGGCCATCTGAACCACACACCCAGCCTGCCCCACCTCCCCAGCCGGTGACCCAGGCACTCACTCTGCTGAACGGACTTGAGGCCTCGGAGGCAGGTGGCTGCCAGCAGGAAGCCACAACCGGCTGGGGGTGCCCGGAGCTCTCCAGCCAGGCTGCAGGCGGCCCCCAAGCAGAGCGGGCCCATGGCTGCAAACTGCAGCGGGTGGTGGCGACGGCCCAGCAACAGCGCTGACAGAGCCAGTGTGAACAGCGGAGTAGTGGTGGTGGCCAGCTGTGCCAGGTCCAGGGGCACGGCGCTCAGGCCCACATTGCCACAGGCCATGGAGGCACCAAAGGTGAGGCTGAGTAGCAACACTCGGCATCGGGTGCGGCCTGGCAAGGGGCGCCGTGCCCTCCAGTGGCATGCCAGCGCTGCCACCAGCATGTGCAGTGCTGACAGCAGCAGGGGCCGCCCGAAGCCATGCACCGTGAAGATCCACTTGTTGAGGCTTGACATGCTGGCTCCCGCCAGTAACCACACAAGTGCTGCCATGGCCACCCGTGCCCCACTGGGCCGCCTGAGGGCCTGGGGACTGCTGGGGGGCCACTCGGGGGGCCCAGCAGCCCAGGCACTACCAACCCCTGCCGCTGCCTCAGCCGAGGTCATCCTGCCGTCATGGTACTCCAGGGGGCAGCGGCACATCCACACCAGTGGGGCTGGGGTGGGAGGCGGCCTCCCCAGGGAGGCGCTCTGGGCTCCCAGAGAGCCCCTCTGCAGGCCAGGCCGGGTCCCAGTTCCTCGGGCCCCGTGGCCCGTCTCTCACAGGTGAGGGCACCGGTTTCTGTGCCAGGCCTGTGCCAGCCGAGATCCCGGCAGTGTGGTTATAGCCTCCGGGCTCAGATGGTGAAAGCCGAGGTCCTCGCCTGCTGTGCACGGGTCGTGGCTGCTGGAAGGCCAGGCTCCCTCGTGCTCACGCCTGGCCTGGTGAGGGCACCTCTGCCCAGTGTAAGACGAAGCCTTAGCTCTTCTCCTTGCCTAGTGCTCACGCTGCGCTCTTAGATGGAATCAACGTTCCTTTCTCTCTTTGGTCCTCAGGCCGTTAGGGTGGGGATCCCATCGCCGGGACCTCCTGCGTGCTCAGGCCCTGACCAAGACTGGTCAGGGGCTATCCTGGCTCCCGCGCCGGGTGGTGCCAGGGGGTCGCGGCTCGCTGCCTCCGACGGTGCCCAGGCCGCGCGGCTGATAAGCGGGCCCGCGCCTGTGCTGCCGCCCGGACCGGGTGGCTGGTTCGGCTCGTCTCCGGCTGGGCCTGCGCTCCGGCTCCTGTTGCCGGCGGCTCCGGCTACCGGCGGCTCGGACTGCGGCTGCTGCTCAGACAGCGACCTGGGAGCTCTGGGCCCCGCCCCCGCCTCCGCCCCGCCCCCGCCAGGCCCCGCCCCCAGAGCGGGAGGACAGAGCGAGCTGGGGCTGGTGGGACAGGCCTCGCCCAGCCCCACAGCGCCTGCTCGCAACCCCGGCCCTCGGCCTGGCATTCCCTCTATCAGCGTCTCTTTGGTCTTCGGCCAGGGCTTCTGCTCATTAGAGTCCCCAGCTGGAGTGGTCAGCCTCCCCTCCCCCAACCCCACCAGGACGGGGTGTTCAGGCCGCTTCCTAGCCAGCGCCAAGGGAAGCCCCTGACAGAGACCAACAAAAGGTGGAAGACACAAGGAGGGAGACAGCTCCCCACGCTGTCTTCGAGGAAGGGGGCGTTAAGGCTCCCTCATCCCAGGATGAGTCTTCGGTCCACGGGGTCTCTGGCCACAGTTATCCCGTGGGACCTCGACATCCAGGAGAGCTGGACCGCCAGGCCCCTTCAGGCCCCTCCATTGTCCCTCCTTAGCCCCGCTTCCCCTCCTCCCAGTCCAGGGCGGCGCCCCTTCTGGCCGCAGAGGGAAGCTGAATCACCAGGGCTACACACAGTTGCGGAAGCAGGGTACAGCCCTGTATCCATCCATCCCCCAGCCAGCAGACCCTGGTCACTCAGAGCTGACTCATAGCTGGATTTCCCGTCCACCCTCCGCCCCCAGCCATGGCAGGACAAAGAGCCCTGAGCTGGACTGGAGCAGCTGCCACCGAGCGCTTGCCCCTGTCTGGGCCTCAGCTATCCTCATCCGAACAACGGGTGCTCTCTGAACTCTCCAGAGCAGGACGGGCCGACCTGGATTCCAGGCCCGGGCTTTGTCTCTGAGCCCCGAGTCCAGGTGCGCAAGAAACAAGGGGGAGTGTCTGGCACAGTAAGGCGCCCAGTGCCTGCTGTGAGCTCTTTCTCGACATCGGGCTTCCTTCACTAGTGGAAGCTCCTGCCCACTGGGACACAGCTCAGCCCGTCCCCTTTTGTCTGACCAGCAAGTCCTGATGACAGCTACCTATCTGGAGGAACGACCTTAAACAGGGACTGCTTAGCCAGGCCCGCGGCGCCCTCTGGTGGTCAGGCCTCGGAATGGCTGCAAGCGCCCCTCAACCTCCCAGCAAATCTGCTGAATCAGACACAGATGCGGTTGCGGGGGCCCAGGAATCCGCTTTTCCACACTTGCCTCTGGTGATTCTGACATTCACTACAGGCTGCACATCACTGCTGACTACCCCAAAATGTAGATAGGGTGGGATGCACGTAGGAGATCTCCAGGCCAAAGACCCAAAAAGAAAAAGGTGGCGGAAGAGGGGTGCGTTTAGACAGGCTTTCTCCATGAGGAACTGTAGAAGGGAAACTGAGCCAGCCACAGGGCAGCTCCCCTAAGGAGGAGAAATCCAGGCCACCTAAGAGCTATATTCTTTTTGGGATTTTGTCAGTTTTCCAATAAATATAAACATGCTGACCTCAGAGCTGAATTGACAGGGAGTGGTGGGTGATGAAAATTTGTCTACACCTCCTCCAAGCCACCACAGAGCGGCTCCCCCGTGCCCTGCCTGGTGAGCGGTGGCTATGAGGAAGGAGGATTATCTGAGGTGAGGCTGGGTAGGCCTTGGTGGGGTGCGGGGAGGCGGAGGGCAGAGGGCCCAGCAGTGGGCCTTTCCAGACAGAACACGAAAGGGCCAGGGCACAGAAAGAGATACCACCACCAGCTACTGGGCACGAGGCGGGTGGGGCTGACCGCATTCCCTCCTCCCCCCAGTGAATCCTCCCATCCACTCATCACAGTCCACAGAGGCAGGCACTGGGGCTATCCTCACAGATGAGGAATCTAGGGCCTGAAAAGAGAAGGAAGCAGGTGCCCAGGAGCATGAACTACATGAGTGGTGGCTGGGGGCTGTCTGCTTTCAGAGCCCCAGCTTTTAACAGCCTTGACCTGCAGACAGTGGGGCTCTCAATAAGATAGTCCTGTAAGGAAGACTGGGGGTGCTGGGAGCCCAACTTCATGGAAGGCAGCAGGGGCTCCATCGCATTCCTTGGGGCCCACCGGAAAGCCCAGAGTAGCCCAGAGCAGCCTGCCTTTGCCCCACAGGCTCCCAAGATCCCCCGAATCTGAGTGCTGCCCTTTGGGGGCCCAGGCCATGGATGTGCAAAGCAGGCTATCCCAGGGAGAGGCTGGGGAGGCCCTGGAGAAGAGCAGGACGTGTCCCCAGCAGCTGGGCTGCAGAGGCTGTGGACGGGTCTCTTCTCTTGTTGCTCCATGTCCTTAGACAAGTCACTTAACCGCTCAGGCCTCAGTTTCCCCATCTATGAATTGAGGGCAATGATATCCTTCCCTCAAGGCTTTGGGGAGGCTGATGAGATCACAGACACAAACATGCTGTGTAAACCAAGGTACCGTCCACCAGCTTAGAGGGGGAAGTGGATTGTCTGGAGTTGTACAGACTAACTGTCAGACTAGATGCAAACCTGGCCCCCGATCTCCAAGGGCCCTTGTATATCAGACTCTTTCTGGGGGGCTAGCGGGGCCACTCTGGGTCCTGGAGCCCTGTCCAGGACATGACTGTCCCCCACTCCACATCGGCCCTGCTGCTTGTGCAAGACTAGACCCTGACCCAATTTTCCAGGGTTAGATTGTGCCTCCAGGCCTTGGGGCACAGGCTGAGAAAGTAAGCAGGGGGAGCTTGAATTAGAAGGCGGCAAAGAGTCCCTGCTGGGGCCCCACAGCTGAGAGAGGAGAAGCAGAGGCTAGAGGGAAGCAAGAAGGAGGGATCCTTGAGCCCGACTTCAACTTTGTTAAGACCCATGGCTGCCCCTGCATTGGTGGCCTGGGTCTTTTCAGTAAACATCCTTTGACTTGAACAGGATTCAGTAACTTCCTGCTCCTCAGAGCCAAGTGCACCCCAACTCAGTCCTCCTTGGAGGCAGGATCAAACCTTGAGAATTGTCTGCCACACATGGCTACTCACAGACCCTCAATGGTACAGGGCAGGGAGTCCCTATGGTTACCGTCCCGTTCTCTCACAGTCTCCCCTGTATGCGCAGGGTTGGTGGCCTTCCTCAGTCGGTGTCTCTGGGATAGCAAGGCATGGTGGTACAGTGGCAAGTTCCCCTCCCTGGGGTCAGACAACTCGGTGAGTGTCTCCACTCTGCCACCCACAGGCTTTGTGACCTGAGGTGAGTTTCTGACTTCTCTGAGCCTCCATCCCTGTGCAATGGGGCTGTTAAAGGGCAGATCTCACCATGATTAAGGATGAGTAAGTGTACAAGCATTCCAGGGTCCTGGGTGCAGACATTTTACTTTGAAAATGGAGGCCATTTTTGCACTCGGCTTCCAGATACTTCCATGTTAGTTTCGATATAAAAGACTGTTTTAAATCACCTACTTCCTCTACCTCCTGAGACCATAAATATTTGAAATTGATGCTGTAAGGAAGAAGCACATGTTTAATGTGTGACTTTGAGTACTCTTCATCACTGTGTCTTCTCAGGCACCTGGACTAAACCTCATGTGCTGTACACCAGAGGCCCCTCTGACAGCAGGTGCCCTTCTTAACCTGGAGGCGGGGGGTGAGGTCCTGGGAGAGTGCCTCCCTGCCCTGAACCTTATCTCCTACCACTGAGAGGCAGGGTCCTCGGCACCCTGGATGCCAAGGGGGAGACGCCCTGATGGTGGCTTGAGGCAAAGCAGGAACGAGAGCCCAGCCCCAGAGCCCTAGGCCTCTATTTGAATCTGGGCTCTACCAGATGGTCATAGCAGTCATCACAGCCCACAATTTCGAGCATTTAAGTGGAGAGCCAGGAGGCTGCCCCAGGCCAGGTCTGTCTGACTCACTAGCCAGTGCTCATGTCCCTGCCAGACACTGTCTCCCACAGAGCCACAGTGGTCTGTGACCTAGGGTGAGTCATCTTCCCTCTTTGAGCACCAGCGTCTTTATCTGTAAAGCAGAGATAAAGATGAAAATATCAACCACCTCACAGAGTTGTGCAAGAAAAGTCAGCCAGCACTGTGCCTGTATCGCCACCACCTCCACCACTATCATCACTCCCTCAGTGCCCCAGAGAACACACACCCACCCTCTTCTCCATGCCTCTCCAGGGGCTATCTCCCACTTCTCTCTCCCGGACCCTGAACTCGCCAGCCTGAAGCACCAGGACGCTGCGGCATGTGCACAATCAACACTTTAATCATTTAGGAGGTGGGCACTGAGCAGCCTGTGGAGTCCTGGCCAGTTCCTATGCCACAGTGATCCTGGAGTATCGCCCAGGCCGAAAGTGGAGTGCTGGGGTGAGAGCTGCAGCCACCACCGAGGCCTCCTGCAGGACCAAAATCCCAGAGTGCGGTACTCATGACACCAGGGGTCGACCAGTGACTTCTCTTTCTGCCAGAAGAGGCTGAGACTCTTCATGCCCTTCAGACCATGGTGACCTTCCTGGGATGCCAGACTGCTCCAGACCCAGGCTCAGAGACTTTTGGAGGAAGGTGCTTGGCTCTCTGCTCCAGGGGGCCTTGGCTTAGGACCCTGGCAGGGGTGGTAGCTGGGGTGATCCAGGGCAAGTGCACAGGAGATGGCAGAGGGTCAGGCAATGCCTGTTACAGGGACATCTGGAGGAAGGGCAAAGACCCAGAGGTGCACGGGGCTGCCAGGGTGAGTGAGCCCAGGGGCTACCAGCTAACCAGCCTCAACTCGATGGTTTCTCCATCCTTGGGTCTGTAGTCAGCAATACCTGCAGAAACAGAATGGGCCCAGTGCGGGGGGTTAACAGGCCAGAGTATCCACCCTCAACCTCATCTTCTAGAGCCCCTCACCCTGAGGCCAGCATCTGTAAGATACACTCTGGGTGGTGGGAAGCGGGGTGCTGTCCAGAGCCAGTTTGGAGACTGAACTCAGCTGTATCCTCAGGGGTCACTGAGACCCTCGCATTCACTTTACAGTGGGGGAGCCCCATAGAGTGGAGGTACTGGACAGCATGGTGGATAACAAACACAAGTGAAATGAACCAGGCACCCTCATGGGCAGGTCACTGTCATCATAGTATCCAAAAGGCCGTTAGGAAGAGGGACTTGCTCAATGTGCTCCCGAGGGAGAACCAGGACCACAGATGAACTCTCCCAGGAGGCAGCCTTCAGCTCACTAGAGAGAGCCCGGGCCCCGGTGTCCACCTGGGCCCAAGCCCCAGCTCTGCCACTTACTAGGAGTGTGACTTTGAGCAGGTTATTTGACCTCTTTGAGTCCCAGTGTTCACATTTGTGAAATAAGGATAATAATATCAACAACCTGTGGTGTCTTTGGAAGGATCCTCTGAACAAACCCATATGTCAGGGATGTTTGCTTTCAATGGCAGGAACTTGATAACTCTAACTCTTCCTGAGAAGGCGGAAGGGTGGCTTCTGCAATTGTTTAATTTGGTAAGAATAAACCAGACATGTGCATCCCAGACCCTCCCTTCTTCCTCTTGGGAGTGGCAGAGGTGGTGGTAGAGGACAGAACTCATGGCTGGGTCCATCTGGCCCTCACCCTAAGGGCCGTTCTCCAGTCCAGCCTTTATCAGTAGTAAAGGCCATCACTGGGGGGTCGCCACCTGGCACCCGTTTATTTTCTTTCTCAATTTGTTCAGACCCAGGCAAGGAAGAAGAATGCTTTTAATTGGGCTCCCTCAGAAAGTCCCACCTTCTATAAAGCACTTGGCACAATGCCTGGCACATGGTAGGTGCTCAATAAAATTTCCAGGAAGATTGTTGTAAAAGCGTCTTAAGTAACAAGAGTGGGGTGGGAGGAACTTTAAGAGTCTGTCTGGTAACTGGGCTGATTCACAGGATGCTTATCACAGCATGGGGCATAAGAGTTAAAACCTGAGACACCCTAAAGGTCCACCAGGAGTTGATCCACCTGTGGCCCGTCCATCCCACTCTGCACCCCTGTTGTGCAGCAGCTCAACACCGGGGGCAGGCCCTGATTGGTCTGAGCCAGTCGTGGTGATCCCATCCTCCTAGCTATTGGTGGATTCAGGACCTGAGTGATCTCCTAGCAACAGGAGTGAATCCAGGAATGGGCATGTGTCCCTTGAGATGTCAGAAGTTTGCTGAGGGATTCAGGGACAAGTTTCCCCAGTCATAAAAGGGAGGAGCCACAGGAAGAAACAGTCTCTGAAGGATGAAGCCAATAAAGAGAAGACAGAGCCAAAGGAATCGCAGGGAAGTGGAGTTGGAGGCCATGTTACATCAGTTCTGAAGCTCTTTCTACCTCTGAACTTCCAGTCACATTAGCCAATGGATGTCCTTATTGTTGAAGCTCATTTGCGTCATATTTCCTGTTACTTGCAGCCCAACTTACCCTAATGGATGATATATTCTACGTGGCTATTACAAAGAGTAAGGAAGATCTACATATACCAACATTCAAAGATGTCTACAATGTATTAAGAGTGAAAAAAAATTGCTAAATAGTATAAGAGCTGCACTGCCCAATATGATAGCCCCAAGCTACATGTGGCTATGGAGCATTTGAAATCTCAGTACAAAAAAAAGCATGTAAAATATGTTATTAATAATTTTATATTGATTACATGTTAAAATGATAATATTTTGGATATATTGGGTTAAATAAGATATACTATTAATATTAATTTCACCTTGGTTTTTTTGTGGCTTCTAGAAAATCCAAAATTACATACGTAGCTCACAGTATATTTCTATTAGACAGCACTGATTTACAGCATGAGTCTGTTTTTATGAAAAAGCAAACAAATTCACATATTTAATAAATTATATAGAAGAAAATACACCAAAAAGTTAAAAGCAGTTATTTCTGGGTAGTGAATTACAGGTGATTTAAATTTTATTTTTTATTTTATTTATTTATTGCCTATCTGACTTCCTAGAGGTTCCATAATGACTTATGTAAAAATTCTAAGAATTCAGTTTGAAAAATTACATTCAGCCTTGATCACTGGTGATTTTATGAAGCCAAGGTCCAGGGAGGTTCAGGGAAAACTGGGGTGAGTTGGGCAAAGCCTGGTTGCTGGAACAGGACTGAGTTAGGGACACGTCCAAGGGTGGCAGGCCACCAGACTCACCTTGTAGCAAGGGGGTGTCAGGGGCTTGGAGAAGCTGCCAGAACTCCCGTTTCCCAACCTTTTTCCCCATCACAGAGATCAAGTAGGGGCCTGACAAGGAGGCCTGTGTTTCATACCTACCGAAGGAAAAGGTGAAGAAAAAGAACAGGTAACTGTTGGTCGCATCAATCCAAGGGGAGAAGTGAAACTCACCCACACCAGCAAAGTTCTGCTATCACCTTCAGGGTCAGCGATAACCCAACCCTTCCTGGGCTATCTTGTATGGGTCTTACCTCCACCTCCTCCTCTCCAGCCCCACTAACACTACCCACTCAGGCTTCTCCTCTTGCTGACCATGACCGTGGCCTTCAGGAAGGGACACCTGTTATGTTAGCAACTCAGCAGTTGTCCCTTCTTGGGGACTGATGTTGTAGGAGGTGCGAATCAAAAGCTGCTGGTATCACACAGAAGATGCCAGCGTGCCATGAGACAGGGTGAAGCCAGCATGCAGAGAGAAGCTGGGACATGGGACACAAAGGCAGCCACCTGGTGGTGGCACTGGGCCACTAGTTCTGGAAATTTCTGCTCAGTCTTCCCTCTGATTTTACAAATCCTACGCTCCCCATTGCCAGAGAAGGTTTAAGGTAGATTTCTGGCCCTCGTAACCAAGGAACTCCCGGCTCGCACCCTACCACCCTGAACTTCTCGCCTCTAACTTTGCCTTTCTCCAACCCACCTGGACACCACAGCCAAAGAAAACTCATTGCCGTCGAGCCAATTCCAACTCATGGTGACCCCATGTGTTACAGAGTAGAACTACCCCATAGGGTTTTCTTGGCTGTAATCTTTACAGAAGCAGAATACCAGGCCTTCCTTCAACAGAGCTGCTGAGTGGATTTGAACCGCCAGCCTTTAGGTTAGTAGCTGTTTGCAAACCGCTTGCACCACCCAGCCTCCCCACTGCCAAAGGGATCCCTTTAAAACTCCATGGATCATATCCTTTGTCTCTCCAAATGGCTTATCAGTGGCTTTGGTCTTAGAGAGACCCAGGGACTTTTTTAGTTTTAAGAAACAGAAACCCACTGGGGGTGACATAGGTAAAGGGAAGTTTCTAGGTTGTTCCCTGATTCTGGGGGCCGTGTGGCTGCTTGAAGCCACTTCTGTCTATACCTCTCTCTCTGTCTCTCACTCTGATTTGCTCTCTCCTTCTCTCTCTTTCCCTCTGCAAACTAGCTTCCTCTGCTGTGAATTTATGTGCCTCAAACATAGCTTTCCTGCCTGGCTGCTGAATCTAACTACCACCAGTTCAAGCATCCAACCCCATTAATGAGAGAATTATTTCTCAAATTAGGATCCACGGATGTCTTCTCAGAGGTCCTTGAGCTCTGAATGAAAATGTTAAATTCTGGGTGTTTTTTCCATTTGATGCTAATATCCACAAATGGATATCAGCAGGTCTGGATAAGCTCAGTGCCTGCTGTGATGACGAGCCTGGGCATTCAGTGACTGTTGCTGTCTAAGACTGTGTTGTCGCCCAGTGCTGCAGGCTAATGAGAATGGAGGTGGCTTCATAGTGAATAAAGTGTCTGGACAAGCTCAGGCTTTTTGATAGTTCAAGCAGAGGGAGGTGCTGAGCCAATTTTTCATGCAGCACTTGGCAGTGGGTGCCTGAACCTCAGCAGATACTCTTTATTTGAATTTTATAGCTTACTTTGTATTGAATTTGCAAAGTTGTTTAGGATTTACAGCTGTCTATGAGCTAGATCAACAGGAAAAAAGACTTAGCCATCTACTCCTGTAAGGTTATAGCCTAGAAAACCCTATGGGGCAGTCCTACTCTGTCACCTGGGATCGCTATGAATGGGAATCGACTCAACGGCACCTAACAACTATGATGAGCTAGAAAGAGAAAGGAATTTATGTTTAGTAGATTTATCAGTACATGTCTAAGTCATATTGTCATATTATAACAGAAATAACACTGAGGTCTGGGAGTAATTTTATCTTTTTTTTAGACTGAGGAGGGATGTGGTCAGAGCACATTCTAAACATATGTGGTATTGTTATTAGCGGCTGTCGAGTCAGCCCTGACTCATGGCAACCCCACACACAAGGGCATCGGACCATTGTGATCCATAGGGTTTTCATTGATTTTCACAAGTAGATCACCAGGTCTTTCTTCCTAGTCTGTCTTAGTCTGGAAACTCCGCTGAAACCTGCTCAGCATCATAGCAACATGAAAGTCTCCACTGACAGATGAGTGGTGGCTGCGCAGGAGGTGCATTGGCCAGGAATCAAAACCGCACAGAAGGCGAGAATTCTACCACGGAACCACCACAGCCTTGAATTTTCATCTTTTAACAGGGGGTCTTTGCATACACATATGGCTATGGGTATGTATAGATATACACACATGTATGGGTACGTACACATATGAACATACATGTATGTGTGTGTATGGATAGATGTGTGTATGGATATGTGTATGTATGGATGTGTGTATGTACGGATGTGTGTACTTATGGATGTCTGTATGTATTGATATGTGTATATATGGTTGTGTGCACGTGGATATGTGTATGTATGTATGTGGATATATGGATGTGTGTATGGATGGATGTGTGTATGTACAGATATGTATAGTATAGATGTGTGTATGTATGGATATGCTTGGACAGGACCTGGCAAGATCAGTGTTCCAGAACTGCTCATCCTCAGGCTTACAGAGGGCTTGCCCAGAGTAATTAATAACAGAGATTGGACCGAGATTATTTGATAATAAAAATCTTATTATTGTCATAAAACTAACCCGTATTGAGTGCTTACCATGTGCCAGACTTGGCACATACAAAATGCATGTGCCACGTGCGCTACATGCATTAACTCCTTGACTTTCACGTGTCCATACATATTCATATGCGTATATACATGTATATCCATGCATATACATATACATACATATATGTATACCTATACACATATCCACACATATCCATGTATACACATATATGCATATCCACATATACTCATATAAAAAAACTCAAAGCTCACTACCATCAAGTTGACTGCGACTCATAGCAATCCTACATGACAGAGTAGAACTACCCCATAGGGTTTCCAACACTGTAAATCTTTACGGAAGCAGGCTGCCTCGTCTTTCTCCCTCAGAGCTGCTGGTGGATTCAAACTGCCAACCTTTTGGTTAGCAGCTGAGTGCTTAACCACTGTACCACCAGAGCTCCTTCATATCCATATCCATATGGGTATATATATCTACACATATACACACACACACACGTATATCCATACATATATGTATATCCATACATGTATCCACACATATCCATATATACACATGTGTATATCCATACATATGGACATATACATACATCCTGGACTCCCACATAGGCCCTGTGAGGAGAGTACAATTGGTGTCACCGAGCTACAGTTAATAACTTGTTCCAGGTCCTGAGTTGGAGAGTGGCAGAGCTGAGATTCCAATGTAGGAGATCGTTCTCCCAGGCCTGCTCCCTCAGTGACAGTGTTGGCTGGCCCATGGCTCCCTAGTTCCTCTGCAGTGTGGGGGCACGTCAGGAGTGGAGAATCTGGCCCTGTGCCTCTCCCAAGGGAAGCTTCTCCTCCATCCCCTGTACCCCGCCCCCCATGACTCAGTTTCAGAGATGTAGGGTCAGGTGGGGTGAGGGGTGGGGGTGGGGGTCTCACGTGAATGGTCCTAGCTCCTGGGCCTTCTTCAGGACATCCTCCAAGGAGGACCCCGCAGGGACAGGGATGGAGTGCTTGTACGGTGGCAAGACACTGGAGACCTTCAGCATGACCCTGATGTATTCTGGGACTTGAGTTTGTAAATGGGTTTCAGTAGCTGGTTCCAACATGGCTGTGCCGGGGAGAGAGAAAGGTGCAGCTGGTATGAGGCTGGACACTGGAGGTTAGTCCTCCTTTCTTCTCTGAAGGACATGGTACCCAGTGTGGACCTTCTTCTTCCCCATGTCTCCATCTCAGTCACCACCACCACCTATGCAATCCGAAACCAGGCTGCCGTTCCAGCCTCCTCTGTCCCTCAGCCCCACATCCCACCATGCTGAGTTCCAGCCCCTCACTGGTTTCTCTGCCTGCAGTATCCTATGTCTATCTATCTACCAGGTAGCACCTCTTAGACGGCTCTTTCTAGAACATGCATTTGTTCATGTTACTTCACTGTTGCCTCTGAGGGTCCCTCTTCCTTTTCATTCTTCCGCCTGCCACCTACTTATTCTCTCACCCCCACTCTTTAGCAAGACTTTTTCCCCTAAACTCCAGTCTTATACACCCCTGTGTCTTGGTTCTTGCTGCTTCCTCCCTGCTCTGCCTTTCCTTCTCTCTCTTCCCCTGGAAAATCCCTCTTGCCTCCTCAAATCCCCGCCCAGATGAAGCCCTGGTTCCTGCTGCTAATTGGGGCTCATCATGTTGTTTCAGAGTTCGTCAAATGCGTCTCTCCCTGTTATGGATTGAACTGTGTCCCCCTAAAAGAAACATGGAAATCTTAACCCCTGTACTTGTAAATATGGCTGGGTTTGGAAATAAGAATTTTCTTTGTTATATTAATGAATTCATACTGGAGTAGGGTGGGACCTAAACCTAATCACTTCTGAATGGTGTCTTATAAAAAGAGCAGAATAGACACAGACACACACACACAGGGGGAAGACAGATGCCAAGGAACACCAAGGAACATCTGGGGCTACCAACAAGGAAGGACCCTCCCCTAGAACCAATGCCCTGATGTGGACTTCCAGCCTCCAAAACTGTGAGACAATAAATTCTTGTTCTTTAAAGCCACCTACTTGTGGTATCTGTGTTACAGCAGCACTGGGAAACTAAGACACTCTCCATTCCTTACTTTGTTCCTTCCTTCATTCACTCAAACACTTCTGTGCTGGGTACCACACAAGAGGCTAGAGATTCATAGTCTCGGCCCGCTCGGAGCTCTCTGTTTCCCTCCCCATACTGTGAGCTTCTAGAAGCAGTGGCCACGTCTTAGCTGCCAGTGCATCCCTACACACCCACAAATCTGTGTTGACTTGGCAAATCAGGACTTAGCAACCTCCTCCCACTGGTATGGCAAACTTCAACAGCTGCTCTACAGGCTGAGAAGAGCTGGACTTCCCATGAAAGGCTCCGCTACCTCTTGTTGCCAGGCAGTCTGGGGAGATGAGATCCACGTAGCTCTTGTGGTTCAGGGCAGGCAGCAGCTGGGAAATCATGAGAGCATTCTGGAAGGTCCCGTCCTGCAGCCTGGCCAGGAGGGCAGCCCTTGCCTTGTGGCACGCTGTGCCCAGCCCCACTCTGGACACGGAGGAGGTCATCAGCAACTGTGACAGAGTAGGGAGGAGAGAGAGGGGGCTGATCAGCCAGCAGGGAGGAGTGCAGTCTTCCAGCCCCTGACCAGTCCACTCCCTATTGGCACCCTGTGTGGACCAAGGCTCCAGAGCCTCTTTCCGACCTGCAGTGCCAGTGGCGTGCTATAAATATTCCCAAAGTAGCCTTCAGGTGTCTGGGCCCGCAGGACGTTCTCCCGCACTGTCCTGATGGCCAGGGTGATCCGTTCTCTCTGCTCGGGGTTGAGGTTGGAGCGTTTCAGACAGGTGAAGGCCAAGCCTGCCATGGCCACCGTGTCTGCAGGGATAAGACATGTGATCAGCCAGAAGTCAAGTGGGGCCAGGCCAGGCAGTGCCTTTGGGACAATGGAGGGTTTGAAGAAGCAGAGCAGCATGGTCAGATGAGTATTTTACAAATCTTTTACCAGCTAGGGTGGCCATCTCAGCCCAGTTTGCCCAGGACCTTCCCTGTTTGGGCACTGAACATCCTGTGATCCAGGAAACCCCTCAATTCTGGGCAAACCAAGATGGTTGGTCACCCTACCACTGCCTACTGCCTGGGGGTTAGAGATTAGGGAGAGTGTTGGAGAAGAGACGCTAAGAAGACTTTACCCTACACCACTAGTTCTCAAACCTGGCTGCGCATTGGAATCACTTGTAGAGTTTTACAACCTACTGATGCCTGGGCCCATCCTTACATGGTCTAATTGAACTGGCACAGGGTGCTGCCTGGGTCCTGGGGTTTTTAAAGCCCTCCAGGGGATTCTAATGTGTCCCCAGTGGTTTTTATACAGGTCTCTGATGAAGAACAAGCTCCCTGACAGTAGAGACCTTGGTACCTTTTTCTCTGGGCACCTAACTTCCTCCAACCTACTCTATCCCTTCCCCACCTTACGTGAGGTCCACAGTCACTCACAGAATGGCAAGCTTAGGGGACACCTTGAGTCACAATGACGAGAAACAGAAATGGAGGTCCAAGGTCACACAGTTAGGAAGCAGATGTAAAATCCAGGACTCAGGTTTCCCAGCTCATAAAATTATAAGATCGTAGCTATGTACCCAGAACTTTCTCCATGTCAGACACTGTGCTAAGCCCTTTACTTATGCTGTTGTTGTTAGCTGTCATCAGGTTGGCCCCTGACTCATGGGGACTCCATGCACAATGGAATGAAACACTGCCCAGTCTGCGCCATGCCCACGATCGGCTGCAGATCAGACCATCATGATCCATAGGGTTTTCATTGACTGATTTTCAGAAGTAGATCACCAGGCCTTTCTTCCTAGCCTGTCTTAGTCTGGAAGCCCCCATGAAACCTGTTCAGCGTCATAACAACATGCAAGCCCCCACTGACAGATGGGTTGGGTTGCACATGAGGTATGTTGTCCAGGAATTGAACCCATGTGCCACACATGGAAAGTGAGAATTCTACCACTGAACAGCCACTGCCTCACGCTTTACTTATAACTATCCTTTATCAAGATGCTGCTGGGAAGTTGTTTTACGGAAGGGGAAGCTGAGTCATAAAGGCCCCCTGACTTTCCCCGGGTCCTACAACGAGTATGGGATGACCTGGTCAGGATCCTGGCCCAGCGCCCTAGTTGGCTCTTAGACACTGCACCACACTCCAACCCGTGATGGGCCATTTTGCTCCTTGATGAGGAGAGGTCCCAAGGAAAGGTGAGGGGGAGCCAGGATTGGGGTGGGGGCTGGGGAGTGCCCACCTGGCCCCAGGGTCAGCCACTCACCCACAGAGAGCTGGGGGCTGCGGAGTGTCCACCTGGCCCCAGGGTCAGCTACTCACCCACAGAGAGGCTGGGGGCTGGGGAGTGCCCACCTGGCCCCAGGGTCAGCCACTCACCCACAGAGAGGTGGCCCTGGTGCAAAGGGTGGTCGTGTTCCACGGCGTGCAGGAGTTTGCCCACCACACTGTCATGGACCCGCTTCTGGTGAACACACAGGGCCAGGATGGCCAAGCCGTACTGGTAGTAGCTGGTGTGGGGGTGGCCCTTGTGATCGTGCCCTGGGGGAGAGAAAATCGTAGGGCAGTGTGGGCCTGAGGGGTTGCCTCTCTGCCCTGCCCAGCTGCCCGCCTTTTAGCAGACAGGCCCCCGCTGCCTGTACTTCCCAACGCCCTCCTTTGGGTTGTGGGAGCCTTCATGCCTTCACTACCTCACGCCACATTCATGAGGCCCCCCCTTTTGCAGGGCTGGGCCAGCAAGGACAAGGCAGGCACTGTGCAGACGGGGCCTCTGACAGTAAGACAACCCACAACTGTGAGAGCACAATTATAAGGACGTGCAGACCGTGGTGTTTGACCAGCTGGGGAGTCAGAATAGGATTTCCTATGGAAGTGACACTCGGAAGGGGAGGAGAGAGCTAAAGATGGAGCAGGAGTGAAAAAGAAGGGGAGGGAAACCATTGCATGCGGAGGGAACACGTATGAAGACCCTGTGGAGAAAGGAGCCTGGTTTGCAGCTGGGAGCAGGCCGGTGGAATGGTAGAGGCGCCCAGGGAGGGGCGGGAGAGTGGTGAGCAGAGCCTGGAGGGGAGACAAAGGCTTGCAGCCTCTGAAAGGAGCCATAAGGAGCCTGTGCAGGGCTTAAGTGGTGGCGAACAAGGACAGATTTATATTTAAAATGCTCAATTTGCCCCGGATACCCTGCTAACTCAGAACTGAAGCCACTTCTGAAGTCCACCTTTCAGCCAAAGATTCGACAGGCCTATACGACAAACAACAATACGTGAGGAATGTGCTTCCTGGCTCAAGTATATGAAACCACATGGGCAACACTCGTGCAAAAGCAAAGACAAGATGGCAGGAAAGGACAGGAAAACTGGACAAATGGACACAGGAAACCCAAGGTGGAAAGGGAAAGGGGGAAAGTACTGACACTCCGCAGAGATTGCAACTAATGTCACAAAACAATCAGTGTATACATTTTTGAATGAAAAACTAGTTTGCGCTGTAAACGTTCACCTGAAGCACAACAGTTTTGTTTTTTATTTTTTAAACCAGGAAAAAAAAAAAAAGAGGCTAATAGTTAACAAAGCTCTTGGGGTTTCTATGATGATCAAAATTCTAATGAAACAGATTATATTGATGTGCTTTATAAGATGTATAATTCTATTACAATGGTAAGAAATATTATAATTGCATGCTTTCTGAAAAAGATGATTAAATCTGATATTCAAGTATAACATTAGAAAGTAAAAAGGAAATATGAAACTGTGTGATCGACAGTAATCAGAAGTGCTAAAATTTCCACTATATTTTTTTACTGCAAAAAAAGCAATGAAATTATATTAATAAAAAGAATCTCCTAAAAAAAAAAAAAAAGCTTGCTCTGGCTGTTGTGCAGGGAGGCTACAAAGGAAGCAGAGGGACTGGTAAAGAGGTTGTGCGGTTGTTGCAGAAGTTGGCTACTGGCAGGTCTATGTTGGTGGCTGAGCAGCCAGACTTAACCCCAGAGTGCATATGCAGGATGCAGGAAATGACGGATCAAGGCTCCTGGGGCAGGCTGGAGCCTCTGGGTGGATAGTAAGATGGGCAGAAAAGAAGTAGGGGGAGGGGTCTGGGGAGAAAACTTGCTGGGTCTCCACATGGAGCTGATCCTGAGACTCAGAGCGGCAGAAGCTGGGTGTGTGGTAGATACTTCCCCAGAGACTGTTGCCCCATGAACCCTCCCAGGTGTTCCTGGGCCCAGCAGATGGAGTCCCCTCACCAATGGCCCTCTTCTCATCCTCCAGGAACCTCTTGAGCTGTGAGACCAGCCTGTCCCCTTTGTGGCCCCCAACGAACTCGCAGTTGGCTCTGAGAGCAAGCAGGTAGAGGGCCAGCTGGCCCATGGAGGGCTTAGCCTGGAAGTTGCTGTTGTCGTCACCATCACTGGAGGCAGACCTAGGACGAGGCCCGTTAAAACCACTACCATGAGAAAGAGCCGCCCTGTAAGCCTGGGGGTGCACCCTAATATCTCAAAGTGGAAAACATCATATTTAGAACCTTCAAAAGTAGATGCAGTCAGCTTTGCAAATTACAAGGTATAAACTACAAATGTTTCATAAAATGAAAGCTCAAGGACAAACTCTGAGGCCTCCCCCATCCAATGACCTGAGCCTGCCCCTTAGTTTCGGTCACGCTTCACCCACGTGCTCTCCCTTTTCTTTCCTTTCCCTGCCCCAGGCACTGGCACCTGGCTCCAAGTAGGAGGTGCCCTGAAGCTGCTTCTTCACCGCATTCAAACTCCTTCTCTGAAGCCCAGAACAAACCTCCCCTCACCGCCCCCTGGGAAGGGAGCATAGAGTCCACTGATGCTTCCGGGCTCGGTAGGAAAGAGTGAAGTTATGGATTAGTGATGTCTGCCCAGGCACAGGAGGGTACACTAGCAGCACATGGGCCTTGGATTGGCATCTCCGGTCTAATCCAACCAACCTTGGGTGGAGGAAGGCCCAGAGGAGACAAAACGCCTCCCAACAAAGCAACAACAGGCCCAGACTAGAACCAAATCCCTTGTAGCTTAGGATACAAAGCAAGACATGGGGAAAGGAGAAGAGAGCATGACAGTACCCCAGTAGGCTTTGTTGGTAGTGGAGCTTGAGGCTGTGCAGGTACAGGGCCTCCTTGCCCTTGGCCTGCAGGCTGGAGAGGCGCAGGCCCACGTAGATGCTGGGGTTCAGCTTCTCCTGGGACAGCTGCTCCATCCAGGGCAAGAGGTGCTGGCCCAGCATCTCCACCAGCTTGCTGTCCACCTCTGGCATTTCTTAGAAAAGAGAACAGGACAAGTGAGGCCACAGGGCCAGCCATCAACAAGGAAATGCTTTTACCTTACAAGAGGCTTCCCCAGAGAATGAACGTCCTACCCCCACCTCCACCTAGCATCCCCCCAACATGCACTTGCATGGGGAAATATCGTATCGCCTGGCCATTCTGAAAAGTAATGGAAAAGGGGAGGAGCTGGTATCCCAAAAAAGCAGTAGAAGTGAAACAGGAAGGGGTAGGACCACCCCTCAGATGGCTGTTGCCAGGCAACCAGCTCCACCCATCAGGAGTGACAGGGAGACTGGAGGCCAAGCCATGCTGTGTGCCCCCACACCGTGCTGATCTTACTTGGTCCTCAGGCCACCCCGTGATGTGGGCATCGCTTTGCACGAAAGAGGGAATGAAGGTCTGAATTCATGTCGCGTCTTACATGAGGTTGCAGAGCCAAGTGTGGACCTGACTCCAAAGCCCCTGCTCTTTGGCACTCTGCAGAAGATGTATTCTACCTGTTTACAAAAACTTCAGCCCATGCCCAGAAGGCATTATTCATCAAACTTTAAAACTCCGCAGAACACCAACTGCTATCTGGGCTGTCTGGTGAATTTTCTCTGTGCAGATGTTAAAATCATGTTTTTCCTGCCATCTTTGTTTAAGCAAAGAGGACCTGAGATAGTGAGGTGTGTTGTTAGGACGCTGTTACCATCTGCAACCATTTACCTTTGTGCTTTGGAATTTACTTGATGTGTGCAACAATATAATGAAATGTGCTAGAAGCAGAGGCTTCAGGGATGTTTCTTGAGGAAGGTACTTTAGACTATCCAGCCTCATTCTTTCCGCCCCCACTCCCGGTTGCCCCAGTCGCTGCTGGCTCCGCAGGATGCTAGGCATGCCTCCCTCCTGGGAGGTCAAGCCAAGGAATGCCACACAGGGTAGCTCGCCTGACTCCTGGGCCTCTGACACAAGGACCAGGGTTCCTGGCTCCCAGCCCTGTCTCTGAGTCCCACCACCTCAGGTATGTATTCCCAAAAGTCACAGACATCTTTTGTTATAAGGTGATCGTGCACTAGCTTGAAAACCCTAAATAATTCTTGGCTATGTGGGCCCAACTCATGGCAACTCCACATGTTACAGAGTAGAACTGCCCCACAGAGTTTTCTTGGCTATAATCATTTCAGAAGCAGATCACCAGGGCTTTCTTTTGTGTTGCTGCTGGGTGGGTTTGAGCTGCCAACCTTTAGATAACTAATCAATTGCAAACCGTTTGCACCACCCAGGGAGTTGGAATCAACTCACCAGCAACGGGTATGGTTTTTTGGTTTTATGTGGGCCCAGGTCAGAGAATGTGGCTAAACGTTTTCTCACCACATATTGAGCAAGACTGGGACTGCTTTTCTTCTCGCTTTCGCTCAGGGCCTCTGTGTTTATTTGTCCATCTCTGTACATATTTCTCTTTCTCTCTCTCTCTGGGTCTGTCTCAGTCTCTATACCTCTCAGCCTGTCTCTCTGGTCATATGTCCCTCCACATCTCTCTTTCCTTCTCCCTCTTTGAGTGGTGCAAACAGTTAAGTGCTTGACTAATAACTGAAAGGTTGGAGGTTCAAGTCCACCCAGAGGTGCCTCAGAAGACAGGCCTGATGATCTACGTCCCAAAAAAATCAGCCATTGAAAACCTTGTGGAGTACGGTTCTACTCGGACACACATTGGGTCTCCATGAGTGGAATCGACTGGATAGCAACTGGTTTGGTTTGGGTTTTCTTTAAACTGATGAAGGAGATCTACCCCCACCCTGCCCTGCCCTCCTCCATCAGGTGAGTCAGCACTGGGTTAGAAGTGGTAAGATGAGATGCCACTGACAGCAACAATTCAGCCTCCTGAGAAGGAAGTGGGCAGATTCCAAACCCATGGCAATTTTAACTCATAGCGATCCTATAGGGCAGAGCAGAACTGCCTCATAGAGTTTCCAAGGCTGTAATCTTTAAGGAAGTAGACTGCCACATCTTTCTCCCATGGAGTGGCTGGTGGGTTCAAACCACTGACCTTTTGGTTAGCAGCTGACCGCATAACCACTGCAACACCAGGGCTCCTTGGGCAGATTCACCGGGGTAATAAAAGCAGCCTGGGGCATCCTCCTCCTGGGGCTCCCAGCAATGCCAGCTGGGGACTGACTAATGTTCAGAAGTACAGGGAGCCCACCTTACACTAGTGTGAGTGCAACAATTCCAGTCAATCTGCGGCTGTACAGAGCTTCAAGCAGGTGAAGCAGGTGCAGAGGGATCCTCACCCCACACGAGGGGGAAGGCAGGTGTCATGGATTGAGTTGTATTCCCCAAAAATATCTGTCAGCTTGGCTGGTTCATGATTCCCAGTGTTGTATGATTGTGTAATCTGATGTGATTTCCTTATGTGTTATAAACTCTATCTATGATGAGATTATATGTGATCTCATGTGTTGTAAATTCTATCACTGAGATGAGGTTATACTGATGAGGTTGACAAGATTAGATAGTGTCTTAATGCAATCTCTTCTGAGATATAAAAAAGAGAAGCAAGCAGAGACACGTAGGAATCTCACACCACCAAGAAAGCAGTGCCGGCAGCAGAGCACATCCATTGGACCTGAGGTTCCTGCGCAGAGAAGCTCCCAGACCAAAAGAAGATTGATGACATGGACCTTCCTCCAGAGCCAATGGAGAAAGCGTTCCCCTGGAGCTGACACCCTGAATTTGGACTTGTAGCCTACTGGACTGTGACAGAATAAATTTCTCTTTGTTAAAACCATCCACTTGTGGTATTCCTGTTAGTGCAGCACTAGATGACTGAGATAGCAGGGAAGCAAGGAAATGAGGCTGAGAGCAATTAAGCGGCCCTGCAGTGGCAGGGATGCACCCTGAGCCCCAGTCCAGGGTGCTCTGGATCCACAAGAAGGGGACTCTTGTGAAGGTTCACACCCAGTGACGGTGAGGACAGGGCCAGGCAGGTAGGTAGGAGAGGAAGGTCTGGGTGGCAGAACCTGGGTCTCCCCTGGGGTCTATCTGGACAGGAACCAAGAGCCCAGGGCTCAGGGGTCTGACTGCTGGTGATGCCTTCAGAAGGGCCGTGGCCTGGTGTTCCAAGAACTGAGTCTGGCAAAGCCCTGGTAATGCTGGACCCCCTTCGGCAGACCCTACAGCCCCTCTGACCCTTTACTTGTTTGCTGGCACCTGGAGATGACAGCCCCTACCTGTCAGGTTTTCTCTAGGGATTGAAAGAGACACAGAGCCTAACAACCCCGTGGGGAGTGTGAGGTGGTGCCGCCCGGAAGCCAGAGGCCTGCCTTCTGCTTCTGGCTGGGCCACAGGCTGTGTGCTCAGATGCAAGGACATGTCCAAGGGGCTGCTCAGACCTGGCCCTGGGGACACAGAGACGGTGCAGCCAGGCCAGCTGTGCATGGAATATGATCCATTTCTGTGGCCCGCCGGTCCCCCTCAGATTCACCTGCAGTTCAAATCCACCAGCTGCTCCTTGGAAACCCTATGGGGCAGTTCTTCTCTGTCCTATAAGGTCTCTATGAGTTGGAACAGACTCGATGGCAACAGGTTTCACTCCAGGAGAGCAGGGATTGGACCTGTCTTCTCCTTTGCTCTTTCCCTAAAGACTAACACAGGCCTGCCAAACAGAAGGCCCCATAACTTCACACTGAGTGAATCAATGAATGAATGACTGGATTGATGGAGGACATCTGTCTGGTGGGGAGTCAGATGTATCAATCTTAATACAAGGTGGTGACCGCTGAGGTCCAGCTAAGCCCAAACTGCTGTGGTACTCCCAAGGGGTGGAGGAGCCCCTTCCTCTGCTTCTGACCCTCAATTTCCCCAGATACATAATGAAGAGTTGAATAAGATAGTCCTCCCCCCTAAGAGCCCAGGAAGGAAGAGCATAGGGTAGGCTGGTTACTCACCACAGCGCTCGGCAAGAGCCCCCAGCATCCCCAGCAGGAAGAGGAGGACCGCAAGGCGCCCCATGGAAGGAGCAGGGGGCCAGCAGTGGGCAGACTCCTGGGCCAGGCTTGCAGAGGCTGTGCTGACTACAGCAGGTCACTGCTCTGAAAGAGGCAGCTTCCAGTCACAGATTAATCTTCCACACCCAGCAGCACTGCTGCTAAGTCAGCTGAGAGAAGGGGGAAAGGTCTGTTGTCACGGGAAAGGCAGGCCAAAGAACAGAGGAAGGAAGTGCAGAGTTGTTTTTCTCAGGGAGGGGTGACTGGGCAGGGAGGGAACAAGTAGGGATCCGGTGAGACACCCTGAGGCCCGTCATGTTCTGTCCTGGACCAGTGCAGAGGGCTCGGCAGCTGATCTGCCTGAGCCAAGAGGGAAGAGAACCCTCTGGCAAGCTCTGGCTGGTATGGCCCAGCTGTTCCAGAGGTGGGTGGGCGGCGCTGGCATGCCTACTTGCTGCTTCTCACAGAAGGGGCCCCTGGAAGCACTCACTCTGGCCCAGGACAGGGAGTGGAACTGGGAGGTGGGTGGTCACGTGAGCGCTAGAGTCAGCTGTTCTTTGCCCGGCCCCTGCAGGGGAGGCCAGCTGGCCCCAGACCAGACAGGCTACTTTTCTCAACAGCCGGAAAGCTGAGGGCCTCCTGGAGACGACAAAGCAAAACAAGTTAAGGAATGGAATTTAATCATTTGAAGCACAAAACCACAGGGTGTGGGGCTGCTCCTTAGGACTAGGAAAGCAAACATAAAAGTCTCTGTCAGGAAGAAGGGAACAAAAATTCTCATGCTCCCAGCCTCCAGGAGAATCAATGGACCTGAGTTAGCTATATGACCTTGGCCAGGTCACTTAACTTCTCTGAGTTTGTTTCTCCTGATCCTAGACAAGATCGTTCTAACTAAACGCCTTCCAGCTCAACTTGTGAAGATGCGATGACCTTAAAACACCTCTAACCATTTCCAAATAAGGTTTTTATTGCAATTATTTTATGGCAAATTGCCAAGGTTCATTCTTTCAAGATAACCTGTCTTTGCTCTTGGCTTACTGCTCGACATAGATAAATACAGAGATGTGCATCTGTTTTATGGAAGTACTTCATGAATTTAAAGTAAGATAGATTGGTGCTGGAAGGCTGGGGGTAGGGGAAAAGGAGGACGTGCCCCCTAGGAGGCTCAGCGGAAAGGGTCAGTACTCAAACTCTGTGGAACCTTGTGCCCAGATCTCCAGGGGAGCCATGGCAGGTGTGTGTGATGGGGCTCCTTTTCCATCTTGGCCTGCCAACCCTGCAGTGAGTGGCATAGATTCTGGATTGGACCACCTCCAGGAGGGCAGCCTGGAGGAGTGGGCTATGGTAGAGGATTCCCCCCACCACCAAGCCTCTGGGAGTGGCAACTTCATCCCAGAGGGCCATCTCTGATCCTGAAAGTGTGAGGGTTCCCCGGTGAAGCAGACAGACAAGCCTCTGCCCACATGGACTCATCACCCCAGGGGGTAGGGACAGCACACAGACACTTTCCAATAGTAATAAAAATAGAATGATTAGTTGGGGTCAGGGAAAGTGCAAAGAAAAATGATGAAATCATTTGGTTCAGGATGTCTATGGTGGGGGGCTATAGCTAAGAAAGTAAAAATTAGCTTAGAATGATAAACTAAAAGTGTATCTGGCCATGTATCATGCTGGCATACCAAGTACAGATAAAACCAGCTGTAAAGTTAACAGGAGAGGCATTGGTGGTTCCATGGTAGAATTCTCCTTTATCCCTGCAGTATACCTGGATGCCATTCCCCAACCAATGCATCTCTTGTGCAGCCACTTCCCATCTGTTAGTTGTGGGTTGCATATTGCTATGATGCTGAGCCAAAAAGAATTGGTTGATGTTTAAACATTTCAGGAGGTAGCATACGATCAAGAACTAATGGTACTGAAGGAAGAAATCCAAGCTGCACTGAAGGCACTGGCAAGAAACAAGTCTCCAGGAACTGATGAAATAACAATTGAGATGTTTTAACAAACAGATGCCGCACTGAAGTGCTCACTCACCTATGCTGAGAAATTTGGAAGACAGTTACTTGGTCAACCAACTGGAAGAGATCCATATCCATGTCCATTCCAAAGAAAGGTGATCCAATGCAATGCAGAAATTATCGAGCGATATCTTTAATATCATATGCAAGTAAAATTATGCTGAAGATAACTCAAAAACTGTTGCAGTAGTACATCGATAGGGAATTGCCAGAAATTCAAGTTGGATTCAGAAGAGGACATGGAACAAGGGGTATCATTGTTGATGTCAGATGGATCTTGGCTGAAAGCAGAAAGATGTTTACCTGTGTTGATTGACTATGCAAAGGCATTTGACTGTGTAGATCATAACAAATTATGGGTAACATTGTGAAGAATGGGAATTCCGGAACACTTAATTGTGTTCATGAGGAACCTGTACAAAGACCTGTACAAAGAGGCAGTTGTTCAGAACAGACCAAGGGATACTGCATGGTTTAAAGTCAGGAGAAGTGTATGTCGGGGTGGTATCCCTTCACCATACTTATTCAATCTGTATGTTGAGCAAATAATCTGAGCAGATGATCCATATGAAGAAGAATGTGGCATCAGGATCGGCAGACTTATTAACCTCCTGGGATATGCAGATGACACAATCTTGCTTGCTGAAAGTGAAGAGGACTTGAAGCACTTACTGATGAAGGTCAAACACTACAGGCTTCCGTATGGATTACACTTCAACATAAAGAAAACAAAAATCTTCACAACTGGACCAGTAAGCAACATCATGGTAAACAGAGAAAAGATTGAAGTTGTCAATGATTTCATTTTACTTGGATCCACAATCAACACACATGGAATGAGCAATCAAGAAATCAAAGGACATATTGCGTTGGGCAAATCTGCTGCAAAAGACCTTTTTTTTTTTATTGTACTTCAGGTGAAGGTTTACAGAACAAATAGTTTCTCATGAAACAGAAGTACACATGTTGTTTTATGACATTGGTTAACAACCCCACAACATATTAACCCTCTAACTTCTCAACCTTTTTTTTTGGTGAAAATACTCATAGCCAAAGATACACCATTTCAAAAATTTCTACATGCACAGTT